TTTCTATTTGAGCATTTGCCGTGACAAATCGATGCATTCAGTTAGGAACCTGGTAATATTTCACGATAAAAGAGAAAAATTGGCGGATCATCATGAGATGCCATTGTGGTGTGGGTTACTTATATCCACATAAGTAGCATATAACGGTGGTCAGGTATAGAATGTATTTCAGCTGAAGATCAATAAGGAAAGAATGAAAAAGGAACGCAATTAGTATGAAAATGCAGGAACAATGAAAGTTGAGACAATGGATTGATATTTGCAGAAATAACAATCACATTTTGCACGATGGATTGATATTTTGCAAATTAACTATTCACTATATGGTTTTCAGATTTTAGGAAGATGCCCTGTGATTTTGTACTCAAATACATTCGATTGTCCCCGCTCGTGTTCTTGTTCACCACACAATCATTATTACTTAAGAATATGCTTAAAAGACTTCTGCGAAGTCTCTTGGACTAGATCAGCAGGCAGTGAAATCTAGAATTTGACCACTCGGAAAAAGTAAAATGTGTGACTACACTCCACTCTGTTACATTAAGTCTGGGTGTTATCCCAACGTTTGAATGAATACTAAGCTTAAATAGATATTTACGGAGTATGCGAGCGTTTAGGATCCTATAAGTCATTAGAGGAAGACTTCTAAGAAACTTACAATGTAATCGCTAGGAGTTTATAGAATTTAAAAGCTTGTAGCGTGCCGTCGAGTCCCAGTTGACTATGAACACCGCTACCAAGAAAACACGTGCCGAACAAATCAGAAGACGGATTAGAATCAAGTTTATTCAATTGGTGATCTCGTGGTATCGAATGAATGCCAAGATCGTGCCAAGAAATTGTACAAGCGAAAGCAGGAGAACGAATTACGTGCGAGCAAAGCCAAGAACCGTGAAACAATGATGGAAGGCAATGGAAGCACCAAACGATTGTATTTAGAACAGTTAAACAAAATGGTTCAAATGCTTGTGGACGGAATAGAAGAAACTTTCGCTTAACAGGCTTCCGTGTCTAGTAGCAGGGGATCACCAAATCCTCCAGGCAGGAACCTAGGTATGCTAACAATAAAAGAGGAAAAAGAAATTGGCAAATCACAACTCTTAAGGAATAGAAGTTGTGTCTACAGTCCGTTTTGCCATGTTGTGTCTCCAGTTTTTAGGTGTTACCTCTTAGGTTAGTGTTGGAACTAAGCTTAAGTAGGTGTTTGAGAGGATGTCCAGAAGTGTAAATGATACTGTAAGTGATCAGAAGGTCACTTCGAAGACGTCTATACTCTAATGAGTAAATGTTAACTGAATGGAGGCGCTCTTCGTAAGGTTTAAATTTGAGTCCTCGAACTGATCTCGTGGCTCGCCGTTGGATACGCTCCAAAGTACAGTTGGTTATAATAATAATTGTTTTCATTAAACCAATCGTGTTCTCGTGATAAAAGTATGTCACTACAAGCTCTTCAATTTGGCTTGGATTTGAGTACCCGAAATGATTATGAAAAACGTTTAAGGAAAGCTTTCAGAGGTTTACAAGGAAATTACGTTAAAAAATTTCAAAATAATTGAAGTTGAGAAAAGATTTTGCACTTGTTTTAACTGTTGATTATCAAGCTTGGATTGTATCTATGATACTGGCATTTTACTGCATTCAAACTTCCGGCTGACTATTTGTTTTAGTGTCGCGTCTCTGTTGTTAGTATGCGCGAAATCGTTCATATTCAGGCAGGTCAGTGCGGCAACCAAATTGGTGCTAAGGTGAGGTGTCTGACACTGAAACTTTAAATTATTTATGGTTTTAGTTTTGGGAGGTAATATCAGACGAACACGGCATTGATCCAACTGGGACGTACCATGGGGACTCTGATCTTCAGCTAGAACGCATAAATGTATATTACAATGAAGCAACCGGTGGAAAATATGTGCCTCGTGCTGTTCTAGTCGACCTAGAACCTGGGACTATGGATAGCGTGCGTGCTGGTCCATTTGGGCAGTTATTCCGACCAGATAACTTTGTTTTCGGACAAAGTGGGGCTGGAAATAATTGGGCAAAAGGCCATTACACCGAAGGTGCTGAGTTGGTTGATTCCGTCTTAGATGTTGTTCGCAAAGAGGCCGAGTCTTGTGACTGTCTTCAAGGTTTCCAGCTCACTCACTCTCTTGGAGGGGGTACTGGTTCCGGAATGGGGACACTGCTTATTTCTAAAATCCGTGAAGAGTATCCAGACCGTATTATGAATACCTTCTCAGTCGTTCCATCACCTAAAGTAAACTCAATTATTTGTAGTCTTATTCTTAGGTATCTGATACTGTTGTGGAGCCGTACAACGCAACTCTTTCAGTTCACCAGCTTGTAGAAAACACTGACGAAACATATTGCATTGATAACGAAGCGCTGTATGACATATGCTTCCGAACTTTAAAGCTCACCACTCCGACATATGGTGACCTCAATCACTTGGTTAGTGCGACCATGTCAGGTGTTACAACATGTCTTCGATTCCCCGGCCAGCTGAATGCTGATTTAAGGAAATTAGCTGTAAACATGGTACCATTCCCACGTCTACACTTTTTCATGCCTGGATTTGCTCCTCTTACTAGCCGTGGTAGCCAGCAGTATCGTTCCCTTACGGTACCTGAATTAACTCAACAAATGTTTGATGCAAAGAATATGATGGCCGCTTGCGATCCACGCCATGGACGATATCTAACAGTTGCCGCAATGTTTAGGGGGCGCATGTCAATGAAAGAAGTTGATGAGCAAATGCTTAACGTTCAAAACAAAAATTCGAGCTATTTCGTCGAATGGATACCTAATAACGTCAAGACAGCTGTGTGTGACATTCCACCAAGAGGTTTGAAAATGTCCGTCACTTTCATCGGGAACAGTACGGCTATTCAGGAGTTATTCAAGCGTGTTAGCGAGCAGTTCACTGCTATGTTCCGACGCAAGGCGTTTTTGCATTGGTATACAGGTGAAGGTATGGATGAAATGGAGTTTACAGAGGCAGAATCAAATATGAATGATCTCGTCAGCGAGTATCAACAGTATCAAGATGCAACAGCCGAAGAGGAAGGGAATTTCGAGGAAGAAGAAAACGAAGAAGCATGAATTAACGATTATTTAAAAATCAGCCTAGTAAATTTCATGTTTCTATACGTTGTTTCTAGGTTTCAGCTGTTAGGCATAGTGTTATGCTCTATTTATCGAGTTGTGGTCCGATCTGTTTCAATCTCTGTATTTATGTCATTTAGATCAAAATGCAGCAGCTTGTGCGATGTCAGTAATTATTTTCCAAATTAGAATCTTAATGGCAGATTACGGCTGTAAATTGATAAGAAAACTAAGCTGGTCACCGTTTATCTGACTCGTAGTTTACTTACATGTGGCCGCAATATGTGACACTGGGATCAGTTTTGTTGCAAACATGAATAGATGCTTTAAGTGGATCAGTCGTGACGTAGGATCTGAAGTTGTTATACCTCGTTAGAAGTGTGGTGTAGTTGTTACGGCAAATCCTAGAATAGTATATGTAGTAGCAATAACAAAAAGAAGAATTAGGCAGAGTGTACAACTTGGGGAAATATGAGTTAGTGATGTATAAAATAGGTTGTGGAGGGTAGAGAAGTCTTAGTTTTGTGGGAAAGCAATGAATTAGCGCCTTCGGGAACCATTATCGGACGTGTTACGCAAACTTTCCTACTACTGGTTATGCTAACCACGCGAACCTTTGCCAGGTAGTCCAGAAACTTGGTTTTTACTCGTCAACGTCTTGCTCTATCAGCCTTGCGTACGAATTCTCGGGTGAGCTAAAATGAGGGAGTCCGGACTTCAACCTGGAAGACCTCATCGTGTAACGTTGCGCGACGTTTTGTTAGCTTGGCTATGCAGAGTGTTATTTGATAATATTGATATCAATGGCAGGTTGGTTAAGAATATAATTTGTGGGTGGGTGGTTATCACTAATGGTTCTATTTCAATGCGAGGAAATATAAGTCGCAATCAATATGAGGTTTCCAGAAGTATGGTAGCTAACAGGTTGTCTGTGGTATGTCCGGTATGAGTTGCAGCATACTCTGCTATGGTGTCTGTTGACATTCGGCTTCGTGGGGCCTAATGATCTGAGTGTTGACGAGTATCGCGTTTACTACCTGAGCTACTACAATTAGTGTACCCTAGCAGCTTTCCGTTATTGAGTCAGGATTAAAGAAGTCCTAGTTCGGAGCACGACTTCATGTCTTTCTGTTTGACTGGACTGCAGTATAGATGTCGCCACCCCTGACTATGCTTAATAGATTTATTACACGGCCTGTTTTCACGTCAACTATAGGAAGTACGATATTCTGGGGGAAGTTTATTCCGTCAGAATAAACACAGGTTTCGAAATCTACCACAATCTGGTTAAACTCTAGTTGGGTTAAAGATATGAGTTTTTGAAGTGTAAATTTCGTCAGCTGAACTTGCGTTCTATCCAGTGGGTGACTTATGGGATGAGACTTCTAGAGTTTATTTGATCGTTATATATTATCGTCGAAATGAACAGCATCTACAATTTTGAGCAAATAACAATAGGTATGTGTTCATTAGTCACCAACTTTGAGTAAAAATAATTAACTGCATTAAGCTGAAGTTACCAAGATTTGAAGCAGTGGGACCAGCACTTTCTACAAGTTATATAACCGGTTTTTTCGACAACCAATATCAGTTTTGATTAAATTTATACAGGCTGGGATTATTCGGTAAAGATGCGATGATTGTCATACAGTGGTTCGACGGGTTACATGCGCATGCCGTGTAACTTTTTACTCTATGAGACCATGTGTATTAAAAACAAAATAATTAGGAACACATCAAAACTGTGAATCCAGAATGGGACAACCAAAACACTAACATGACTATTTACAAAGGCTATAGAGTCATAGAACTAAGAAATATCTGCAAAACACGAAACTTTTGGTCTCTTACAGTTTTACCAAGAATATATTGCATTCTCAAATACATCGTTTAGCTACTGAAGTTTATATCCCAGTACAATAAAAATTTTACCTGAAGTGGATTCTAGGAGCTGCAGAACTATTTTGTTTAGTATAACAAAGAACTTCTTAATGTCGATGTTTGTGGCTACAATGGAGGAGGATTAAGGCAGACTGAGATAGATACACCCTTCGAAATTATATATAATGTGATAACCATTACGAAGCTGCAGAAAAAGACGAGGTAAAACCACAAAACATGATTATTACATATTACTGACCAAAATGGATAAGAAACCAAGCGTGAAACAAATTGAATTCAAAATATCATTTTTAAGGAGTTTGTAATCAAAATTTTATGTAACCATACACCGAAATAATTAACCTGCGTGTGCACTCAACGAAAAAAATATGCAGAAATTATAAATAACTGTATGTCACATCACGATGTGAAGCTATCGAATGACAGATCAGCTTAAACAGTACGAATCTTGGAGCAAAAGTAAGGCATTATTGTTAATAATTAGGATAGGATGGAGGGTAATAATGAGTCTCATTAGGAGTCGGACATGCTTTTGACAAGATAGTTGGTGATGTTACGGGAACGGCAGCACTTGAATGCACTGAATTGTAGGAACCCGATACAAAAGTATTTTGAGTTGGAGGACAAGTGGGACGTGTCGAAGGATTCATACTTTGAGCTGGAGGAGGATACATAGGTGGATATGACATGCCCTGTTGGGAAAAACAAAGTGTAAAACAATACTTTAGAACACAAACAACTTTGATACTTATATTGAACCAAGAAAATGGAAAAAGTGGCAGTCTCCATCAGCTAAATTATGGAATAACTTGAGATCAATAAAACACTTCAAAAAATAATCTGTATGGTAATTATTTTCGTTGCTAGATATATTTAGTTTACCTAACGATCAAGTAGATTGCAAGCAATGAGTTCTCATTTTATAACCATAGGAGTTAAATCTCATTTCCATTTTAGTATAAGGGATGAATGGGATTGTATTGACATGTCTATGTTATATTTGATAAGCATGTTAAAATTACTGAATTAGACATTAGGCCGGATAGTTTATTTATCATATCATCGATGAATAAATGTGAATAACGAACAATATTTCATCCAAAAGACAATATAAATCAGAGATCGGTACAGGATAATATGTAGACAAATAGTTTGGCAAGAAAACTCACATGTGGAATCATGGGCGTGGACAGTATTGAACTTTGTGTCGTAGAATTTCTAGGAGAACCTGAAAGAGGCTGCATAATTGGTCGCTGTGGTGTCCCTAAACCAGTTGAAGGATCGTACGGTGGAAGTACAGGTGTAAAAATGTTAGATGATGGATTTGGAGGAGTTACAAGGATACCCATAGGTCTATTAGTGTTTGGTAGTGATCCAGTTTGACGAGCATAAGGACCCATATTTGGTGGCATGTTTGCCAAACCGGGAGACTGATAATGGACAAAAACAAAGTTTTATAACTAATAATAAATGAAAACGAAAATATCGTACGTTAAACTAGTAGTAAGGAATTTGAACTATATTTCTTTAAATCCTGAACATTATTCAAAATGTCACTTTTGTTTAATTAGTTGAGAAAGTCTGTTTTTCGTAAACTGTATTAACAATTTAACTCATTTTCAGCTTGTCAGTTTGATGTAAACATTCTTTCGTTGAAGCCGTTAACAAAGACAATTCGAACCCAATTTAAGTTCACTGATATCTACTTTCAGTTCCGAGATCAGTACAGGAGGGACTAGACAACCCACTGCAGAAAAATGTCTAATCGTGGAAAGAAAAGAAAACCCGCTTTTTGAATTGAAAGATCTTCGTATTAAGTTTTGACGCTTCATGGTGAAAGGCGAGATGCTTACAAAGTCACGAGGCCAATGAATCTTCTGGAAAATAGAGCAACAACCAATATAAGAACAAGGATTATCTAAACAATGTGAAAGACAAGGAGAACTATACAAATGCTGAGAATAAGAAGATACAACCTTGTTCTGTTTGAAATAAATGAATTTTAATGGATATAGTGTGGACAAAAAAGACTAATTTCAGGTGACATGCTGTTGTATTTCGGTCACAAAGAAGACCCCCCACATACACAAGGAATTGAACTGATACCGTCCAAAAAAGCACAAAAGCTTTATAGGATGGAAAACCTACGGCATCAGGATCATCATGACGCCCTTCGAAACAGCAGATAAGATAACGAAGACCATGTTCATGAGGAGATGAAGTCCATTCTATAGAAATTCCCAAGAAAACACCTGAAAATTTTGATAGGACACTTGAACGTCAGGATCGGGATGGAAAATACCGAGTATGAAGACATTATAGAATGACATGGACTGGGAGGAAGGAACTAGAGTGGTCAGGAACTGGTATACCTGTGCACTCTCAGCAAAATGCTTAAAGACGCCAGTGATTTACCCTACAAATGCATACATACAGCTAAATGGGTTTCACCGAATTAAACTATAGGAAATCAGCCCCCGAATGTCGTGTTACGACCAAGAGCGGGGTGGGCTCGCCCTTTCTCTCGAAATACTCTCACATGGCCACGCGTATACAGCCTCTGCCGGGGAAGTCGTACTCACTCCCTTCTCGTTGCGTGGGTGTTGTTTACAAAAATAAGAGGACGAAAAGCGGATGTCCAGCGCTTTAAACCGGATCCAAAACCAATGGTGCACATGGGCTTTAGTATCCTGTGGGAACAAATGGCGTATGAACCAATTTGTTTGTTACCGGCTACCATGGGACTGCATCTCCTCACGATACTCCACTGCCTTGTGGGTTAGACCTTTAGGTCAAAGGCTCGGGGTGTAGCCCCTTAAGAAAACCACCTGCTTCGGTCTGGGCACCCGAGCAGTATCACAGCCCACACACAATTATCATGAATTGTCTTTATTTATGGAAAATACTCTTCTTGCTACGATTAACAATCAAATGATTCATATTATTATTACTATTATCGACTACGTCACTTATTCCCCCTCTTTTATTCCTACTCTGTCTATACATATTTTTTCGACTTATACAGCAGCTCGCCCTTGGTGGAAATTCGCCTCTATCTAACGCTCTCGAGTCACTGCCTGATTGAAAATTGTATAACACAACCGTGTACGAGTACTGAAGCTGTTCTTCTGAGACCACGTAAACGATCCAAACTGGCTGCCCTCAACGTTCGCACACTTATGCACGTCAGACAACAGATGTATTGATCATATCTTCACCCTCCGCCAAATGTTAGAACACCGTCATACTTATCACAGGCCAACAATCGTAGTGTTTCTTGACATCAGGGCTGCCTTCGATTCGTTGGACAGGACTGTTCTCTAAGATTGTCTATTGAAGAAGGGTGTGCCTGAGAAGTTTATTAACATCATAAAGGCCTAATATATAAACACCTCAGGTAGAGTGAGGGCATACAACCACCTCTCTCCATTGTTCCATTCAAGTGGTGGGGTTACACAGGGTTGCCCAATCTCACCATTCCTCTTCAAATTTGCCATCGATGACATTCCAGAAACAGCCCTGATGAATGTAAGTAATGGCGGCGTGGATCTGTTGCCTGGAGAAAGACTTCTCGACCTTGAGTATGCGGACGATATTGTCTTACTGTGCGATAATGCCCAAGGCATGCAATCCGCACTTAATCAATTGGCAATCAGTGTCCGTAGGTATGGTATGTGCTTTGTACCTTCGAAGTGCAAAGTACTCCTACAAGACTGGCAGGATTCCAATCCTGTACTCACCCTGGTTGGTGAGCAGATAGACGTAGTCGAGAAGTTCGTGTACCTAGGTAGCTGCATAAGTGCTGGTGGTAGGGTGAGTGATGAGATCAATCCATCTGTAGTGAAAGCCAGAGCGGCTTATTCCAATCTGGACCATCTTTGGCGCCTTCGTGATGTTAGTCTGACTGTAAAAGGTCGGATCTACAACGCGTCGGTGAGAGCAGTTTTACTCTATGCTTGTGAAACCTGACCTCTCCGAGTTGAGGATGTTAGAAGACTCTGTGTTTGATCATCCTTGTCCCCGACGGATTGCTGACATAAAGTGGCAACACCATGTTAGTAATGCAGAGGTTCGACATCGTGTGTTCGGGTGCAGAGACGATAATTAAATTGATGTCACCATCTTGAAACACCGACTTCAGTGGCTTGGACATGTTCTGTGAATGTTGTCCCGGAGAATTCCACGTCGTGCATTATTTGCCGACGCCGGGACTGGTTGGAAAAAGCGGAGAGGTAGTCAGTGTATGACATGGTGTCGTGGTATGAAAGAAATCTGCAAAGGGCTGGCTTGTGTTGGTCCTTCACGACTCCCTGGCTGGGGTCCAAGAGATGGTGCAACACAGTGGCTAGAGACGTTATCAGATATGGCCCAGAATAGAAGCCAGTGGCGATCCTGCTGTAACCTCTTACTTTCCTCATAAAAAGTGGTTGTTTCTTCCCCAACTGAAAGACTTCTTCTGACTGCACCTTTCGTTTTCCCTATTATTATTATTATTATTATTATTATTATTATTATTATTATTATTATTATTATTATTATTACGCTACCTTACCTTATTCTGTTCGTTATTGCTCTTTTTATAACGCTCCTTACCTTTTATCCTTCTCCTCTTCAAATTCCCATTGTTTTGTGTGGCGCATACTTATTCGGTGCCCTCTTGTACCAATATTTATGTGTTCAAATAAATAAATAAATAGCTGATTCCATGTGTGTAAATAAAAAATTCAGTGGGTTCACTGAAGATGTAGGAACAAACAGGAGGGGTGACATAGCTTCAGATAACCACCTGTCGGCGACCAAGCTGTAACTGAAGCTAAAGGAGCATTAGATAACTGCACAGGCAACACTACATAAGTTTGACGCAACCTTCTTTTGAAATGTTTACAAGACCAGTGAATTCAAGATAGCTCCTCACGCTAATACGGCTATACGATGAGACTGGTTTGGATGACTGCGTTCATAAAACATCTAGATTGAATACTCGAAGGATTCGCTGTACAAAGACCAGATTACGTTACATCAGATACCTGATTCACGACTATAATCAAAATAGCTCTACATAAGAAGTGTGAAGCCTTACAAGATCTAATCAAAGAAGAGGAAAGTGCTGTGGAGAACAATTAGGATGGGAGCATTACAGCTGACAAGAGGAAATACATGGAAGACATAGCAATGACAGGAGAAAAGGCTGCTAGAGAAGGAAGTGAAAGAGAACTACATGATGCAACCAATAAGCCAGCACGAGAGTATAGTAGACCAGATCCACCAGTCAGAAACGAACGAGGAAAGTCAATCATGGACGTTCAACAGCAAAGGAACCGGTGGGTAGATCATTTTAAAGAGCTCCAGAACAGACTGGCTACATTGAACCCACCGGACACTGTTATATCTCAAGGGACCGCCGATTAGAGGACAGTGACTTATCGATCGGATCAAGGGATTTAGAATCTCGATAGGCTATTCTGGTTCGTTGTACTCGACTAAGCTAACGCGATCAAGAAGTCTGGGTGAGGTGTAGAAAGTATATTCTATAGGCAAACAGCAGATATCAAGTCAGGTCAAGCACACAAGCGTATTTATACAAATATTTACAATCGATATTGTCATAGTAAAATGCTTTTAAACATTAATCAATAAGTTCATCAATCGACAGTCATTCAAATATTTAATCGATAACTTCGTCAATTGACCGCTATTTAATCATTGCCCCCAAATGCCCTGGTACGGCCGAGAGTGGGGAGAGTCCGCTCTCCCTCTCGAAATACTCTCACACGGCCACGCGTATATAGCCTCTGCCAGGGAAGTCCTACTCACTGCCTTCTCGTGGCGGGGGTGTTGTTTACGAAAATGAGAGGACGAAAAGCGAATGTCCGGCGCTTTAACCGGATTCCAAACCAATGGTGCACATGGGCACCAGTATCCTGCGGGAACAAATGGCGAATGAACCAATTGTTGGTCACCGGCTTCCATGGGACTGCATCTCCTTACGATGCTCCACTGCCTTGTGGATCAGACCTTCAGGTCGAAGGCTCGGGGTGTGGCCCCCTAAGAAAACCACCTGCTTCGGTTTGGGCACCCGGGCAGTATCACAGCCCTCACACATATCGAATGAGATTTGTGTGGCGCATATGTATTTGGTGCCTCTTTGTACCATTATCTATGTGTTGAAATAATAATAATAAAATAATTTAATCATTTAGTCGATAAGTTCATCAATTGACATCCATTTAAAATATTTAACACTTAATCGATAAGTTGATCGATAATATGAAATTACAGAATATGAGTTTTTGGGATCTATCGTCTTCAACAGACACCGAAGCAACACACACAGATCTCCCTATGTTACTGCACCGACCAATTAAAGAAATCAGTAAAGCCACCAATCAGACAAGTCAACAATTACAAAGTAGTGGACCAGACAGCACACCAACTGAAGCACTGAAGTCAGATATAGTGGTAACTGCAATGATACTACACATTCTTTTCTCAGAGTTGGGAGCAAGAACAAGTACCAATAAACCGGATACCTCCTCAATACACCAAAGGAAGGTGGGGAGGGAGACTGTAGACGCACCACACTACTTTCAGAACCAGACACAGTTTTCAACTGAGTGTTAATGGGCCGGATGAAAAACTCAGTAGACGCCCAACTTCTAAATCAACAAGCTGACTTGCATAAGGATTGATCATATACCGACCAAGTCGCAACATTGCCAATCATTGTTAGGCAATCAATGAGACGAAACTCATCGCTACACACCAACTTCCTCCATTGTAAGAAGGCGTTCGACAGCATGGATAGAAAAACTTAGTGGAATATTATTCGGCACTATAGTATCGTTATCATCACACGGAATTCATAGCAAGGACTACACTGGAAATTTGTGCATGGAGGGTAGCTCACAAATCCATCCTAAATGTAGAGTGATATCAAACAAAACTAACTACTCTCCTATTCTCTTCCTGATAGCTGATGACTATATTATGACGACCTCTACAATGCAAAATTGCATTATTGCAATATCTCGACGTTGATACTCCTTACGTGGTAAGACAATTGTAAACAATTTAGCACCATAGTAAGAGTAATTATGTAGCTGATACTAATAAACACAGAAGCCGAAAATGAGCTACATAGCGGAATTCGAAATTACGACAAACGCTGTGACTACTAAATCACCCTAGTTTGGATTTTCATTAAGGACCCCTTAAAAGGAAATCTGACAGGTGATATAAGAGTTTCAAAACCGAAAATCCTTCTGTTTAATTGTTTACAAATTAAAATGAACGGTTTGATGTTCACAAAACACACTGAAATGACATACCCTGAATGAAGAAGTACTATGCTGTTGTAACATCGGAGTTGATGTGTTAGGCATTCTAAGAGTATCATTGCCATGAATTATAGGTTGTGCTGAGTTTTGAGGGGATATAGGTATTGATGCTTGTACTTGAGGTTGGGTGAGATGGTTTTGATGTCCTGAAGGCTGTTGATAAAATGATGATATTGGCTGACTATTTGGTGTTAACGGTTGACCCTGAGACGGTAGTATCGTAGTGGAGAGTGTGGAACTAATATTAGGCGCCGCCGATACTACCACTTCTGCATTAGAATGACTAAATTTATTAGGTACTTGGTCAATTGTATCAAGCTTATTCTCAAACGGCACTTGGAGATCTATAGTGTCGTGATCAGCAGATTTTTTAGTCGAATTTAGCCCCTCGTCTAACAATCCAGCCGTTGAGAAAGTTGATTTGGAAACCATGCAATTTTCCTGAAATATTTAGTAGTTTATTTTAGAATATACAAAAAGTTACATTTTATCAAATGAGAACAACGTGCCTGATGCAAAAAAGTACTGAAATAAATTTGTTTGATCAGTAAGAAAATAAACCATCCTATGATGTATTAAGATTACAGGATGAAAATATGAGAAATAAAGGTCTGCAATCACACTATCTAGGAGAAAATGTTTACCATCTTTCCGCAAGTAAACAGGTTTACCATATATTTTAAAGTAAATTTTACTCACACATATGTGATCATAAACATCTAATATATTGTGTTTCAACTGTTATTTTCAAACAACTTAGAGCTTTTCTAAGTGCTGTTACCATAATAATTTAATCTCATTACTTGCTCTTCAGTGTTCTCTTTTGAATTTTTTCAACTCTTGTAATTAGTCAGGATGATCTAGTTGAAAAGTCTAGTCAAATATTTATAAAAAAATTAAAAGGAAAATTAGTTTCACTGGTAATAGATTATTAAGCTGAAGTGTTTATTTTAAGACTCTGTCAATAGTCTTTAAAATATTATTTACTTATAAAAATAATTCTGAGTAGAATTCCTAACGGTAAAAAGTGAATAAGCTGGGTAGACTGATAATCATAATGTAGGGAGCACAACTGAATAAGTTACATTCAAATAGTAAAGACAAACATAGAACCTAAACTCAAAAGCGTATTGCAGAGAGACGGAACTAATAATTCGAATCAACAATGTCAATTATGGTGGTAGATCTACAGAATAAAGTAGAAAATATTGAAACGACATTATTTAGTGTTGAAGAATATAAGGAATGAAAGTATGCACGTAATTGTAATCGATTTAGGATCCTTTTACGTAATAGTAATATTGGAAAGCAGTTAGTAACAAAGTAGAAAGCCTCTACCTCAATATGCGGTTTAAATCAACTGTCGACGAATTCATGGACAGACGGTGAATCTTAATCTAACTATTTTTTAAACTTTTTTCCAATTAACTGTTTCACCAACCAACACATAACTTTGAATGTGATGGGTGGAATTATATTCCACGTACCATATTCACCTTACAGAGAAATAAATGATGAATCTATCTACTACAATTAATTCAATTCCTGACATTTAACTGTTTGGAGACAATTTAGGTGATTATGTTTGTGGTATTAACTGCACAAGATATCTGATAGATTAGTAGAGATTAATTCTGGTTCAGCATTTGAACCCAGGCTTTGCCGCTTTTATGGGCACCTACATTGAAAGTTACACTAGTAGATCCTGAGAATATATTGGATCTAAAGATCATGATATGTAAAATATAATGGGTATATTCAAGGGACTAATATACCCGTCAAGAAATTTGCCATATATTGCTTGCGACAGGATCTACTTCAAAGTGACGACTTTCACTGATATTGAGGTGAGTTTCGGAAAAGTAAATAGGGTGAAGAACAACATATGTCAAAGTTCTACTCATTATTTTAACCTAAGTTTAATTGTGTTGTGTGATTAGCTGGTAATTTCCGGTTACCCCGATTGATATGACCAATGAAAGACTAATTTCGGGTTTTAGCCGCAAGTTAACCACAATACAGAGGAGCGCAGTCATGTGTCTTATATGAATTGGACTCCACGAAAATCATGCTAAAATCATTCTATTATCTACACGCACACAAGATTTTGATTTCGAAATGTTATCTGAACTGTTGACTGATGACAAGTAGATGGGTGGATTTGGAGAAGAGATTGTAACATCTGTAGATCGGACATTAGATAACGGATCGAATTCCTTGTTACTCTCCGGGTTGCATATTGACTGTGACAAAAGAGAAAAATAGAATCATTTTCTAAATTAGGCGTAGAAGGATATATTTTAGTTAACAACACTGTACAGATATATTAACGACTTATGAATTGTATGAGTACAAACGTGTTCCCACGTAAATCTTGTAAAACAATCAAATGGTTTGTTCAATGTTATTCAGACCGTAATATATGAAAACTGCACATTATTCAAGTTACATAAATGTAATGTTCAATACTACTTATTAAGATCTTCGGTCAGAAAGCTGCAGCATCTAGATTTGATGAGGTTGTAACTTACATCGTTAACTATTTCTACTTATACCTCGTGGTGCTTTATACGATATTTAACATTTGTTATTTTTGAATAGGTAGTCAGGAATTATATGAACTAAATAACCTATTTTATTACGTACCAATGAAATGATCACCATGACATTTCTCAACACATTTTGAATTCTACAAAATATTACCGCATCGATATGATATTGTTGTCAGCTTTTGTATTGTAAGGACGCCAAAATTCGTAAGTTACCACCTAAACCATACATACAACAGTTGATAAGATGGAACAGGAACAAAAGTAAATTTAATTTGCTTTTGTTTCTCGATAAGCTAATATACTACTAATTTGTATTCATTAAAAATTTAGTCTGTGGGACTTTTGTGTAGTCCTGACAGTAAGCTATTTTTTGACCTATCGACTATTGTTATCACTTTTGCCGTTCATAGACTACAATCAATCAACTAAGAATTTATTACAGTTTTGGATTGCAAATGTCCTAGTTGTGTATGCATTAAAACTTATTATTTAGGGTAGTCTTGGTATTTCACCTATACATATTATTGTGAGTTATGGATGTACACAATGAAATTGTTCACAACCATTCGATCGGTTTTCTGGTATTCTGACCGTAGGTTTAGAAACGTGGACATGCGGACCCTATCGAAAGCATCAGAAATATAATAATGGGAATGTGATGCAGACAAGGGACAACGGTAAGTGAGTATAAATGGCAGTTTAGACTCATAAATTGCTACCAAGTGTTAATCATGATCAATCAAATTATATCCAATTGAAAAATAACAATTTTTCTGAGTGGAAAATGGTTGGCAGATAATACTTACGTCTGTTTTGTTTACTATTTCAAGTCGATTACAGTTAGTGAAAGCTATATCCATGGAATCGTTGGCAGAAAACGTTTTTTGAATACGATCAGCTACGTTTAGGATGTGGTTACCAAGCCGTTGAAGTTCATAAACTAAAGAAAACGTATCCCCTGATTCAAGATTTTTAGCTTCACCGTCTTTTCTGTTTTTAAATGGAGCAGTACATTGTAATATTTCAGGTTTGTTTACAACTATGGAAATTGAAAAAAAATCATTAACAAAACCTATCAAGAATGGATGAATTTAGGCTGGAGAAGTTCGAGCCTTCTATTTAGAAATCTGAATTAATGTCAAGGTCTGGTGATTGAAATAGTTAGCCCAGTTTATGTGTGATTCAATCAATAAAGTCCACTCATTTATTTACGAGCTACCTACAAAAGTGTAACAACCACATAGAGGGCAACCAACAGTCTTTTGTAAATTATGATGACAGAGTATTAGCTGCTTTTAAACTAACGGCGCATCCACACAAAGAATATTTTTGTTGAGTGAAGTCCAAAAACTTGAGCCGAAACCAGCAACTTCTATAGGTTAGGCGTAGCATACTATCATTTAAACCAAGAAACAAAGATATCTAAGCATAAAACCTATCTTTACGCCCAAGAGATCCTATACTGAAATAGATGAAATGTGACTAACGCGGAAAGCGCGTTTCTTATGAAATAATATATTTCTTTCACGGAAATATTAGACATTGATGTCCATTTTTCTGAATAATCGGGAAAGAAAAGGACATTGGCTGAAAGCATAACGGAAGGTGAACTTCAACTTTTAACTGGAAGTCGAACACTGTAGAAGTTTGAAAGTGTATGGCTTAGCATTTATTTTTAGTTTATTCAGACAGTGGATATGCCAAACAGTCATAAGGGGGAATCAAATGCATTTGACGAAAAATGATTTTAAATTATAGAAAAAACTCCGATTGGTGTTATATGCTTCGTATGTAACTCCGTACGTAACCAGTCCGATTCTGAAATTAAACATTTGAACGATACTACTTGCATATCAGTAGTAATCAAGCCGTATTTGTCGGACAACTATCGAAGCTGACAATACATTTGGAATACTATATTCAAAGTGCAGCTTTTACACTAAGAAATAGCAACATTTTCAAAGCGGAAGCCTTGCAAAGATGGAAAATCGTAGATTACTGATTTCATGGTTTTACAAGAACGAGAAATGTTACTTCTTTTAACCTTTCGTTTACACAGAAACTTGTATTGGCAGCAAATACGAATTCAACATAATAGCGATATTGCAGAATTTTAGAGCCCATAAAATTTATGTTTGAATATTATGTAAAGGTTTTGAAATGCGTAAAGTATTTAAGAGGCACATATGAGTGTTGTTTATTTAATTGACTAGTATCATTGCCCCACGCTATACCGATCATTACTCGTCGAAGCTATTTGATTTTCATGCAAGAGCTAAAATGTCCAGCGGTGTCATCCTATTACCAACCAAATTAGTGTCCCTACCTGTAAGGTAAGATTACTTTATAATTTGGTGATACAGAACGCATTATATCTTAAGTTAACGCTATTATCATCCACTTTTTTTAGAATCGTCTTGGGAAGTTCACTGGTAGAAGTAGGGAGTGACAAATACAAAGGCCACACATAACTTTTCAATTGGTTTCGAATAGTGAATAACATCTCTCAGACACCTGTTTTCGTAAAACAGTCCCAGCGGTACTTTCTCCTTGGAACTGGATGTAACTCTGGAGTCTGGGAATGAGCACTGACCTTTATTAAATGTTAAGATATTTCACTAGAAAACACGAAATTCAGACCCAATTAATCAATAGAAATTAATTGATCTTCTTGTTTATTTTTCATTCCTTCTGAATATTTAAATCTAATAGGACATGGACAATTGTCAATGGGAAGCCAGTCACTTAACACAGAGCTTCACAATGTAATGTAGTGTTGATTCTAACTAAACTGGATAGGTGATGCTTCATGATCCTTGGACAAGCGTTTATCAAACATCCTCCCAGTCAACAGATGGAGTAAAACACGGTATTTTCGAATTCCAGATAAACATGTATTTTGTTTAGACCATATAAGGATGTAGGCGTTAAACATACCAGGTTGAGATGTCAAGTGTTTCGAAACTATTGAGATGAATTCAATATTTGAGGATAGCTTCGGGGAAGCAACTAATTGGTATAAAAACAAATGGCTATGAGGACTATAGGGGTAAAAAACGCACACGACTGATATATTACATGTTATCTTGATTGCGCACGTTAACTTTTGCATAATAAGCTCGATTCGCGCGAACGGTAATACTCTCATTTTTCCTCTTCACGGTTATAACAGTTAAAATATTTGGTTACTTAAACTAAAACAGGTAGAGGGAAGTTTTTCCCCTAACTGAATGACTGAAAAATGAATGACTTCTCAACTAAACCACCGTATATTGTTAACTAGTGTTAGTCAGTTATTTATACGATCCCCTATCACTTCACAAAAATGAAGAATCTTTTGTCAACTCTATTGCTTTGTCATGAACAAAGCACAGTATATTTACTCACCTAAAATCGTTAAGCAATACTTTCGTGCAAATAAACAAAAAAACTGGAAGGTCAGTTAAAGTTTACAAATCCTCAAGTCTTGGACGTAGTACCCAAAAGTGCTTAAAACATACGGGCACTCTCATGAAAACATAAATGCACTGAAATTCGTATATGAAAAACCACTTTTCTCTTCTCAAGTTAACGTCCGCCTAGACGCCTACAAATGAGAAAGAAATGAACGACTGTGTAGGCTTTAAACGATAACATTAAGTCAGGAACTCTAATCTGAGTGGACATCATCCCAAATAATGATGAAAATTATGTATCAACATGATGATAGTTGGGTCTCGTTTGAAAATCACACTTTTTCTACGAAATCTGAAAGAAGTCGACATTTTTGGATGGGTTGTATGTATTAGAATGATTAGACTAAGTACTATATTAATTCCTTTTAAGGAAAATAACTCCTTTTTCTGACAAGTCGCTTATCAAAGCTATTAATTCTGTTATAACGCAACTGATTTAATAACAGTACAGACATTTAATCATTTTCATAGAATATAAAGCAGACTTTAAGATACAGAAAGTTATCCTGTTGCAACTACAACAGAAATTCGATGTATTTGGGTCCTTTATAGATCACAAAGTTCGAATCAAAAGAATGATGAGTGGTTCAAAACGAGCACTGTGTGGCAGAGTTGTGAGGAAACAAGGTTACTGTGACGTAGTTATCTCATGTGTTTAGCTGAATCACATCGGGCATAAGCTGAGACCTTTCCAAACTATTTTAGCGAAGTCTACTCTACGTTTATTGTTACAAATACTTGTCCCAATAACACCGAGATATCAGTCATAGAATCTGGACATGTGACTGGGGAAACTGTCCTTCCACTGGTAACTAACCTCAAACCTTGTAAGATGCCGGGCGCTGATGGGTTACATCCACTGCTGCTCTCATCTCTTGCGGGCATTATTCCACGACCGCTCGCGACACTCTTCAATAAATCCCTTTCACCCGCCCAACTCCCTAGAGATTGGAAAGACGCTATAGTCAGTCCCATATTTAAGGATGATCAGAGACATCGTATCTAACTACCGGCCTGTCAGTCTAACCAGCATATTCGTTAAGTTAATTGAAAAGATAATTCGGGTTAAGTTGATAAGTCACATAGATTCACACAATGTTAGCTCCTGAGCAACATGGGTTTCGTAACAAGCGTTCATGCTTGACTAACTTACTAATTGCGAGAGAGGACTGGACAGCAGCCCTAGATAACGGTCTGTCTATCGATGTAATATTCATAGATTTTTGCAAAGCTTTTGACAAGGTTTCACACTTAGGTCTTATGCACAAGCTCTCGAACTTCGGAATAATAGGTTCTGTACAGGAGTGAACAGGAAATTTCTTATGTGACAGAGAGTGAGGGTCAACGGAACGCTATCCGATTGGAAGCCAGTCAAAAATGGTGTACCCCAAGGCACCATCTTAGGCCCTCTGCTCTTACTTCTCTACGTTAACGAGTTGCCGCTGTTGCTTAGATCGTCGACATTTTTGTTTGTGAATGACGTAAAAATCTGGGGAACAATGAAAAGTGAGGTCGATCATTTTGATCTCCAAGCTGACTTAGACGAATTGGTTATATGAGCTCGAGGTTGGGGCTTAGGAATCAATTCTAGGAAGAGTGTGCTAATACACATCGGTCACTGCAATAGTTACTATCATACTACTGATGGTAAACCTCTTCAACGCATTCAAGAATGTAGACTTAGGAGTAATAATAAGTCATGGCTTGAAAACAACTACGGATTGCAACGCAGCTGCTGCCAAAGGTTTTCATGAGTTATGGTCACTTCGCCGAGCATTCAAATGCTTTAACGAGAAGACGTTTCGAATTTTATATACCACCTATGTAAGACCACATTGAGAGTACTGTATCTAAGCACCTGGCCCATGTCTGGTAAAGGATACCGACTCACTTGAGCGTGTATGAACAAAATCAGTGAAGGGTCTTTTTAAACTCCCTTGCGATGAGCGTTTAAAACGCCTAAACCTTTGCCCCTTGTCGTATCGCAGGACTCGAGGTGATCTTATACTGGCATTTCGCATCTTTGATCATGATTTGGGTGTTAATATGTCCTATCTTTTCGCTCCCTCCAGCACTAATAATCTCCGAGGTCATAGCAAGAAGGTTCACAAACCGCGATCTAATAAACTTAAAGTGGGGTCCCGTTTTTCTCATCGAGTAGTCAATGACTGGAACGCTCTACTCAAAGAAGTGGTATTAGCCCCATCAGTGAATATATTCAAAGAAACGCTGGACCTTCATTGGAAGGCAATCTGTCAGGATTAACACAGGTTCACCAACCTACTATCCTTGTTACTGAAGACTAATGGGGTCCTGGTCCTGAGAACCCTTATGTATGATGGTCTTATTTTTCAGAAGAATGTGAAAACCAGAGCTTTAAGACCAATATGTGAGTTTTTAAGGTAACTTTGACTAGAATGAAACGTACCGAAGATTTTAATCTGTAGCACCTTGCTGGACTGTATGGCGAGGGAGAGCTCAGACTCATCCTCAATCGTTATAAAGTCCCCATCTGAAGGGTGAACATGCGAAGTTTGCACTCACCTTCGTCTTTATATTTTACCAACAATTCATCTTCCTTTGTAATATACTGCTTGAATACACGTTGCATCATTAAAATAAGTTCATCGTAAGTGATTTCCTCATTATGTATCGGGATTCGTCGCAAGTCATGTCCTAGTTGAGCTTTGATAATAAGTTTCCCAGAGAGATCCATGCTGAAACGCTGCAGCCTAATTTCAACCTTATCCGTGGTAATGATACGTCAGCAGCCAATACCTGACCTTAGTGATCCAGACAGGTGCGGACACATGTCCAATACTCAATGTACTGTCAAGTTCAATAATCCATGTGATTTTGTGAAACTGCATAAAGGAAAGTCATTTTTGTCATCAAATTTACGTTTTTTCTTTCAGCACAGTAAGCATTTAATTATAAATGTGAGAAAATCTTAAATCGTTGATAAAGTTGGTGACTTTTTTCCTGTAGGGTCAAAGAAATTAGACGGAGAGCTATCCAGATCACCTACCAGGCTGGACCTCTTCTACTTTACATTGTAGAATATCGAAATCTTGGAACGAAATCGTTCTTCTCGATTGTGATTAAGGCAGATTGATAAATTACATGCCAAAGACATGCACATGCGGCAGTGGTCCAACTTATACTACTATAATCTGCCTTACTGTTATGTGTTGTGCTCCACTGACGGTATCCAAAGACAAAGGATACCAACTTATCTATTCAACACGACAGGACTGCGCAAACAGGCTAAGAACCGTGTGGTGAAGCTTTGACTTAATTTACGAAGTAAAATCTTTACTGCCTAACTTAAGCGAACCACAACCATCAGCTTAGATTGCCTAGGCTGAAGACTCAAATAGATGTAGCGGCAAGTAAATCCCAAACACAAATCGTTCTTTATATCTTCGAAAATGAGGCTGGCTTCATTAGTTTTAATAGACTCGCCGAGCTGAAGGCGCTCGGTCACACATTCGCACCAGATCACAGTTGGGTACGCTATGCAATGCATCCATTGCAACTGTCAGCCAACTTAGACCAAAAACTTCTCAATATATCGAAAGCCTTTCAAATATTTCTTCAAACCCCTTCATTTCTGACTTCTGATTTGACTGGCTTGGTATACTTCCATTATAGGGTGTTGCTGGTAAAGGTGCAGTAGAACTCTGAATACCTGTGGCCTTTTTACAGCCCTCAACTTTCAAATAGATTTTCTCCTTCACTGCGTCGCATAAAGCTCTTGGATGTCAGGGACATTTAGGGATTCATAACTCTGTGTTCCGTAACGCGTTAGCAGTTGAAAATCACAAAGCCCGTTAAACCGGAAGCCCAGAATGCGATAGTTAAAACATATATTTGGATAAAGTTTAACTTAACTGGTTCTCATAAGAGACGCTCAGCACGATGTAGACAAACATGACTTGATCTGGATGCTTGACAGAAAGTCCTCAGTTAGGGGTCTGTTCAGCAAAACTAATGAGGTCCGCATAAATGTCAAAGACTAATAAAATTTTCTTTTTGTGATTTATTTGTAGCACAGTTCAGTTCCTTCCTATTGGGGTAGTGAGAACCTTAAGGCGTGATCATCCATATGTCTAAGTCCAGTGGGCCTGTTGTTAGTAAACACTTTTCTGGTAAGCAAACCTTAAGGAAAAACCACCATGTATAGCATATGGCAGCGGAAAAGATTACATGCACAGGACGGTTGATTTAGGGGTTTCTTATTCAAAAATGTGTGCATAAGAGTACTTTAAAATATTATATTTCTTATTTATTGACACAGTAAGATTTAAAAGTTCGACCACTTAGCCGCAGAACGAGAGGTAAATGAACAAGGCTCGAAAATGTCTTTCACGCGGCAGTCATTTAGCTGTCTTGGGAGCCTCAGTACGTTGATGTAATATATGTATCAGGAATAAAGTTAATCTTGTTCTGGAGAAGTGCATATGTATTAGCTTTCATTAACCTCCACTAATTTCCGCCTACGATTCAATTTCCAGAGAAAAGTCATACTTGACAGTACATTGAGTATTGGACATGTGTCCGCACCTGTCTGGATCACTAAGGTCAGGTATTGGCTGCTGACGTATCATTACCACGGATAAGGTTGAAATTAGGCTGCAGCGTTTCAGCATGGATCTCTCTGGGAAACTTATTATCAAAGCTCAACTAGGACATGACTTGCGACGAATCCCGATACATAATGAGGAAATCACTTACGATGAACTTATTTTAATGATGCAACGTGTATTCAAGCAGTATATTACAAAGGAAGATGAATTGTTGGTAAAATATAAAGACGAAGGTGAGTGCAAACTTCGCATGTTCACCCTTCAGATGGGGACTTTATAACGATTGAGGATGAGTCTGAGCTCTCCCTCGCCATACAGTCCAGCAAGGTGCTACAGATTAAAATCTTCGGTACGTTTCATTCTAGTCAAAGTTACCTTAAAAACTCACATATTGGTCTTAAAGCTCTGGTTTTCACATTCTTCTGAAAAATAAGACCATCATACATAAGGGTTCTCAGGACCAGGACCCCATTAGTCTTCAGTAACAAGGATAGTAGGTTGGTGAACCTGTGTTAATCCTGACAGATTGCCTTCCAATGAAGGTCCAGCGTTTCTTTGAATATATTCACTGATGGGGCTAATACCACTTCTTTGAGTAGAGCGTTCCAGTCATTGACTACTCGATGAGAAAAACGGGACCCCACTTTAAGTTTATTAGATCGCGGTTTGTGAACCTTCTTGCTATGACCTCGGAGATTATTAGTGCTGGAGGGAGCGAAAAGATAGGACATATTAACACCCAAATCATGATCAAAGATGCGAAATGCCAGTATAAGATCACCTCGAGTCCTGCGATACGACAAGGGGCAAAGGTTTAGGCGTTTTAAACGCTCATCGCAAGGGAGTTTAAAAAGACCCTTCACTGATTTTGTTCATACACGCTCAAGTGAGTCGGTATCCTTTACCAGACATGGGCCAGGTGCTTAGATACAGTACTCTCAATGTGGTCTTACATAGGTGGTATATAAAATTCGAAACGTCTTCTCGTTAAAGCATTTGAATGCTCGGCGAAGTAACCATAACTCATGAAAACCTTTGGCAGCAGCTGCGTTGCAATCCGTAGTTGTTTTCAAGCCATGACTTATTATTACTCCTAAGTCTACATTCTTGAATGCGTTGAAGAGGTTTACCATCAGTAGTATGATAGTAACTATTGCAGTGACCGATGTGTATTAGCACACTCTTCCTAGAATTGATTCCTAAGCCCCAACCTCGAGCTCATATAACCAATTCGTCTAAGTCAGCTTGGAGATCAAAATGATCGACCTCACTTTTCATTGTTCCCCAGATTTTTACGTCATTCACAAACAAAAATGTCGACGATCTAAGCAACAGCGGCAACTCGTTAACGTAGAGAAGTAAGAGCAGAGGGCCTAAGATGGTGCCTTGGGGTACACCATTTTTGACTGGCTTCCAATCGGATAGCGTTCCGTTGACCCTCACTCTCTGTCACATAAGAAATTTCCTGTTCACTCCTGTACAGAACCTATTATTCCGAAGTTCGAGAGCTTGTGCATAAGACCTAAGTGTGAAACCTTGTCAAAAGCTTTGCAAAAATCTATGAATATTACATCGATAGACAGACCGTTATCTAGGGCTGCTGTCCAGTCCTCTCTCGCAATTAGTAAGTTAGTCAAGCATGAACGCTTGTTACGAAACCCATGTTGCTCAGGAGCTAACATTGTGTGAATCTATGTGACTTATCAACTTAACCCGAATTATCTTTTCAATTAACTTAACGAATATGCTGGTTAGACTGACAGGCCGGTAGTTAGATACGATGTCTCTGATCATCCTTAAATATGGGACTGACTATAGCGTCTTTCCAATCTCTAGGGAGTTGGGCGGGTGAAAGGGATTTATTGAAGAGTGTCGCGAGCGGTCGTGGAATAATGCCCGCAAGAGATGAGAGCAGCAGTGGATGTAACCCATCAGCGCCCGGCATCTTACAAGGTTTGAGGTTAGTTACCAGTGGAAGGACAGTTTCCCCAGTCACATGTCCAGATTCTATGACTGATATCTCGGTGTTATTGGGACAAGTATTTGTAACAATAAACGTAGAGTAGACTTCGCTAAAATAGTTTGGAAAGGTCTCAGCTTATGCCCGATGTGATTCAGCTAAACACATGAGATAACTACGTCACAGTAACCTTGTTTCCTCACAACTCTGCCACACAGTGCTCGTTTTGAACCACTCATCATTCTTTTGATTCGAACTTTGTGATCTATAAAGGACCCAAATACATCGAATTTCTGTTGTAGTTGCAACAGGATAACTTTCTGTATCTTAAAGTCTGCTTTATATTCTATGAAAATGATTAAATGTCTGTACTGTTATTAAATCAGTTGCGTTATAACAGAATTAATAGCTTTGATAAGCGACTTGTCAGAAAAAGGAGTTATTTTCCTTAAAAGGAATTAATATAGTACTTAGTCTAATCATTCTAATACATACAACCCATCCAAAAATGTCGACTTCTTTCAGATTTCGTAGAAAAAGTGTGATTTTCAAACGAGACCCAACTATCATCATGTTGATACATAATTTTCATCATTATTTGGGATGATGTCCACTCAGATTAGAGTTCCTGACTTAATGTTATCGTTTAAAGCCTACACAGTCGTTCATTTCTTTCTCATTTGTAGGCGTCTAGGCGGACGTTAACTTGAGAAGAGAAAAGTGGTTTTTCATATACGAATTTCAGTGCATTTATGTTTTCATGAGAGTGCCCGTATGTTTTAAGCACTTTTGGGTACTACGTCCAAGACTTGAGGATTTGTAAACTTTAACTGACCTTCCAGTTTTTTTGTTTATTTGCACGAAAGTATTGCTTAACGATTTTAGGTGAGTAAATATACTGTGCTTTGTTCATGACAAAGCAATAGAGTTGACAAAAGATTCTTCATTTTTGTGAAGTGATAGGGGATCGTATAAATAACTGACTAACACTAGTTAACAATATACGGTGGTTTAGTTGAGAAGTCATTCATTTTTCAGTCATTCAGTTAGGGGAAAAACTTCCCTCTACCTGTTTTAGTTTAAGTAACCAAATATTTTAACTGTTATAACCGTGAAGAGGAAAAATGAGAGTATTACCGTTCGCGCGAATCGAGCTTATTATGCAAAAGTTAACGTGCGCAATCAAGATAACATGTAATATATCAGTCGTGTGCGTTTTTTACCCCTATAGTCCTCATAGCCATTTGTTTTTATACCAATTAGTTGCTTCCCCGA